ACATAACTTCTCTGAACTTCAGTGTTTTGGTCTATAAACTGGACAGCAGCCAGTTCTGTCCAGTGCTGAACTTCATTCAGAACCACTTGGCTACACTACTCAGCATGGTGGTGAAAGACAGTCATTGGTACAGCACCACGGACAGATGTGCCACTTCCTGCCCCACCAACACACACACACACACCCCAAATGTGAAACGGGAGAATCCTCTGTCCCCTTCTCCCCTCTCCGTGGTCTGCTACCCTCCCAACTCTGTGTACCTTCCCCTCAAGGCCCTGGTGCTCTCGGAAAATCATCTGACATGTGTTCGTGCCGAGAGCTGAAGGACTTGAGTAGGATGCCTCGTTCCTGCAGACCTTGGCTTTGAAACAAAAGGAATCACGTGTGAATAATAGATCTCCCTGATGAGCAGCGGAGCCTACTGGGGATTTAGCCAGGACTTCTATGACCCCTTAAAAACCCTGCCCTGTCTTTCCTCAGTGGCCTCCTCTCATGACCCACGACACTGGCCTTGCTGAGCATCCTCTGGAGGGCAGGTGAGAGTGAGGCCGCTGACCTTTGGGGTGGATGGCAACAGTGGGCAGTAGCCCGAGGAAGGCCAAGAAACGGAAGTTGGCCATTGTAACCGGGGCCCAGGGCTCTCACAGGAAACCACCTGGACTCAGAGATGTGTAGCCACTTGCCTGAGGCCACACAAGCTGCTTGCTGGTAGAATGCGGTCTGAAACCCAGGTCGTCTGACGCCCAGGCCTGAGCTCTGTAGACAGGCCCGCACTCATGTACAGAATCAGGAACCAAGATCTAGACTCCCAAGTGTTGTTACCCACATTTAAAGCAACTTTTGCAAAATGAAAAGTCACGGAGATGAGCCTTCCCCCTCACTGTGCTACAGAGAGAGTTTTGTCATTGCACCATATGCCGCAAGGGCCAAGTATAGATTTTTGTGACAAAATTAGCATGGCTATTAAAGACGGTAAAGGAAATAATCAGAAAGCCAAAGTTAGAGGCAGAGGAGCTAAATTGCCCTCCTCTGCTCTGCAGCACATCCAGACCACACATCCGAGCGGGGAGGGGCCGTGACAACACGCTCCTGCGCCCCACTCCCAGGGAGACCTGGCCTGCAAATAAGAGGGGGATGGGTTGACAGTGCAGACAGAACGATGCGATGCAGGGTGGGGAGAAGTGAGGGAGGGGGAGGGGAGGAAGGTGAAGAGGAGGAGATGATGATAGCAAGCACATACTGTATAATGCTCCCTATGTGCCAGGCACTCTCTGCTTTCCCTGGCCCTTTGAAGCAGCTGTTATCACTAACCCCATTTTACAGATATGGAAATTGAAGCACAAAGAAGCTGGTGTGGCTCAGGGGACTGAGTGCCAGCCTGCGGAACCAAAGGGTCACTGGTTCAATTCCAGTCTAGGGCACATGCCTGGGTTGCGGGCCGGGTCCCCAGTAGGGGGCGCGCAAGAGGCAACCACACAGTGATGTTTCTCTCTCTCCCTCCCTTCCCCTCTCTAAAAGTAAATAAATAAGCTCTGGCTGGTGTAGCTCAGTGGATTGAGCATGGACTACAAACTAAAGGGTCACTGATGTGATTCCCAGTCAGGGCACATGCCTGGGTTGCAGACCAGGTCCCCAGTAGGAGCCACATGAGAAGCAACCACACAGTGATATTTCTCTCCCTCTCTTCCTCCCTCCCTCCCCTTCTCTCTAAAAATAAATAAATAAAATCTTTTAAATAAATAAATTTTTTTAAGAAGCAACAAGACTGACTGTAAATCAGGTCCCAGCCTGGGAAGAGCGTGGAAGCTCTGTTGATCGCTCTCACCTCTCTTGCTGATGCTTGACTCCTACACACAAACATGTTCAAGTTCCCTGTTTTAATAAAAACTTGTTCCTTCGCCCTGTCCACAACATGCTAGTGTTTCTAGAATTATTTCCATTGGCCACCAACTGTCTTAAAAGACGCAGACCCGCCATTCCTGCTTTCTCGACTCCTGACCCCTCATCACAGCAGGCAGGCGTCTGCCCCCACCCTCCCCCCACACCCTTAAGGTGACCGAGGGAACCACAACGGTTGGACCCAATGTCCCCTCCTCCCCAGTTCCTCTCACTCACTTCCTCTCCCCTTCAGACGTCGCCAACCAGCCCTCACACACACACCAGCTCGGCACAGATCTCCTCCTCCATCATCCCTTATACCAGGGTCCCTTCCACCTCTCTGAATACCTGCCTGCCTGGGTCACCTTCACTGGCCACTCCTCCTACGGCCACCCCCTATAGTAGCCCTTCCCAAAATCCCAGGAAGGCTTCTGGGCACAAACTCTGGTTCCCAGCCCTGGGGAGACATCAGCATCACCAACCCCGGTGCCAAAGGCTCCGGATTCAGTGGTCTGGGATGCTGCCCTGTATCTGCGTGTTTTTTAAAGTCTCTGCAGGCCACTCTGGTGCGTGGCTGAGGCAGCAACCCCCTGGTTTAAGGCGCCGAGCATGCCTAGGGGAAGGGAGATTCAGGGGACCGGGGAACACGTTCGGGTAAAGAGGAGAGGGCAGAGGAAATCACAAGAGGGAGGCAGAGAAGGCAAACGTTCTGCAGTCCAAAGGGGGTGTCCAGTGTCTGGCCTGCTTTTGGTTCCTTGAGCGACTTCTAAACCGTTTCCACCCATAAATCTTCCCTAGTAAATCCTACCTTCCTCCCAAGCTAAAAGCAGACTGCTAGAAGTAAAAAGGGAGTACAATAGACCAATTTCTCCTATTATGACAGCTCCATAAGAATTGTTTTATTGCTTTATTGGGAACTTGATTTTTTTTTAATAAGATCAGGCAAAAATGGGCATTAGTATTCCACACATCCACAGAGGTGACCCTTAGCAGTCAAGGAAAAATAACATAAAGCAATGGACTTTTCACTGTAGGATCACATCGATGCTTTCTTTTCCTTAAGAGCGTTTTCATGATTCAGACAGTTCACGGGAGCATGAGAAGAATGTCCGTTCAAGGCCATCTGGCTCGGCCCCTCCTCCCGTGCGCACTCGGGGAGGCTCCGTGCGGGGCACGCAGGTTCACCGTGCGGCCAGCCTCAGTTTCAGTCCCAGGCTGGCCACTTCCTGGCAGAGACCCCTTGGGCATGAAGCACATGAAGGTCCCTCCGTTTACTTGGCCATAAAGTGGGGGTCGTGGTACCTCGGAGCTGTCGGGAGAATAAACGTGTCAATGACTGACGTTAGCCCTCTTCGTTGGATTTTGAATCTTGAACGTGATATTTGACCTCTACAACCACGACCACACACAAAAGCATTTCCTGACAGCATGTTGACACTACCAGTGTCTGTCACTAGCGCTTAGGATGCTCTGTGGCATCAGCCCCATTTAATGTAGGCGGACTATGGGCCGCCTGGGCGGAGCCCCCATCTGCCAGAGCGCCCTCCAGCGGCCTGTCCCGGTGAGTCGGAACAGAACGGAGGTGTGGCGGGCTGCCGGCCGCCGCACAAGCCAAGCTCTCGAGCAGGTGTGGGTGCGAAAGGAAAGGGGTTTTCCTCCGGTGCCTCACAACCTGGGGGAATGGCGGACTCCTGTCTCAGAGACCATCTCCTCTTTCTACTCGGGCCTGAGGTTCTCACGGGGACAGGGAGCGGAGGGCTCTTTCCCCATCCAGTTATCTCCTCCATCTCTCTCTCACTGCCCTGCATGTAGTGTGTGTGCACGCACACACACACACACACACACACACACAATAAAGCTTCTAAAAATAATAATAAACACGAAAACCTCCAAATGTTTTGAGATAAAGAACCAAAATCCTGAACACAGCCTGGCCCCTGCTCTACAATTTTATTCTAGCCCTTCTCCCCAGCCCCAGCTCTGTGCGACCAGTCGGTGCTCTTCTCCTTCCGCAGAGCCGCCACGCCACAGGACCTTTGCACAAGCCCCCTCCTTCTTCTTGGGCACTCGCGCATTCCCTCCCCCCACTCGTGCCCACTCTTCCTGCAGGTCTCGGCTCCCACCACTTCCTCGAGCCCCGCCACGTCTCTCTCCTCCATAGCCCCCACGTCACCGGTAGTTTCGGATGTTCTCACAACAGGAGGGCATTCCATCCGATGTGTGGCTGCGCATTATCTTCACAGCATGAAGCACAGTGTCTGGCACATGGCAGGAACTTTACAAATATTTGTGGAATGAATGAATTCCATGGTTCACGAAGGCAAATGTGAAGCCAACATTTTAAAAGATTTTATTTATTAATTTTTTATAGTGGGGTGGGAGGGGAGAAGAGAGTAACAGAAACATCCAATGTGACAGAGAAACATCAACTGGTTGCCTCTCGGACCTGTCCCAGCTGGGGACCAAACCCACAAGCAGACATGTGCTCTGGCCGGCAGTCAAACCGGCGACCTTCCGCTTTGCAGGACAATGCCCAACCAACAAAGCCACACCAAGTCAGGGCAGAAGCCAACTTTTAAAAACAGTGAAAAGTCCTGGGGCTTTAGTTTAAGCAGTTCTGGGCGGGACACAGCGTCTTTATGCTACAATGTCTCGAGTGCTCTCCAGTCCCTCCGAGCACACACACGAGCAAGCACGGCTGACACAAAGAGAGCGCATCAGACGATCTGCCTCCCCCGGCACCAAACCCTGTTTCCCGGGGCGTGTCCCGGCGGCCGCTGCTGATATACATCTGCAGGGGGCAATGCTCTTTGGTGTCTGGGCTCCCTCGTTTTCTCCCGGGCCTCATCAAGCCAGCCTCCAGCCGGAAACAGCGCTCCGCCTCAGCCGCCATCCTGGGAGGCTCTCCTGCATTATCTGGCTCACCTCTGCCTTTCCCGTCCGTGAGACCCACAACCAGCAAAGTTGCTGGGATCCAGGCTCTGCACCCTGAGGCTAGGGGGCTGCCCGCTTAGGTGAGGAGGTGATCCTTCCACCTCCCATGACGAGGCGGACACCTGGCAGCCCCAGAAGGGAACCCGGGTCTTGTCCCTGCATCTTAGCCCAGAGGACAGCTCTCGGATATGGCGACTGTGAGAGGTGTGTTTTCCGTAAGAATGTATTGAGCTTCTGACTGAATGAGACTTCAGCCAGCATGAAAGACAGAACCTGCTATTTTTTTCTTTATTAAGGTCCTTCATGTCACATCCAGCAAAAATAGGTACCCCTCTTACTGTGTGTGCTGTCTCAGCTTTTATTTGCACAAAGGAAGTGTGTCTGGGGGGCAGAGTGAGACACTGGGCACTGGGAGGGGCAGGAGGAAGAAAGGAGGGAAACAAGCAGAAAGGAAGGAGAGAGTGAAGACACAAAGAGAAAGAGAAACGGAGGGAAAGATGCTCATACAGGGGAATTTTTTTATTAAATTCCAACCCGAGGAAGCTGTGTACGGGGACTCCCCGTTTTCTCCTTCTGAAGCCTGAAGGCAAAGCAAGATGCTGTGTCAATTACAGAAAAAAATCAATGAAGACACTGTTCAGGAGTCCTTTTCACCATTCAGTGCGGACGGCATCCTTCCCTTTCCAGCACTGATTCATTTACTTTCGGCCTCTCTGGAGGCTGCTGACATATTGCTGTCTCTGAAGAATCGGAAGCAAAATCACCTTTGTTTCTTACTGCAACTTGTTTCTCTGTACAATTTGTTACAGGAGCTGCCACATGACCTTGCTAATTCTGTAGGACTGAAGGGCGAGACCTCGCTGGGCCAAGTCGTGGATTTGGGTGTCTCCTTCCACTGACCCCCTATCTCCTCCAAGGTGCCCAGAGCCGCTGGAGGCAGCCTGTAGGCTACAAACCTCGTGTATTTTTACATCCTGTTCCCCTCACCGTATCTGTCCTGACTCTAATAAATTAAAACCTGCTCCTAGCGCCTTCCCCGCTCAACAGCATAATGGAAAAAGCCTTCTTAGAGAAAGCTTCCTCCAAAGCAACGGCATTGGTGAAGGAAGCGAGGCGGTACAGCTCATGGGGAGCATCCCACGAGCTGCTGCGTCGTGGGCGAGTTGTGCAGCAGCCGCACAGCTAAAATCTGCCCTAACAGAGTCATTCATTCGAGCCAAGCAATGCCCTTCCCCTTTGGGCCCATTTCAGGTGCAAACATTTCGAGGGAGGGCAGACCTTCAGTCCCTGTACTGGTTTCCTGTTGCTGCTGTAACAAACTACCAAAAACATGAAGTGAAAACAACACACACACTCATTCCCTCACAGTCCCGGAGATCAGAAGTCGAAAACGGATCAGCAGGGCTGCGTTCCTTCTGGAGGCTCCAGGAAGGGGTTCATTTCCCTGCTTTCTCCTCGACGCTCAGCCATCTCCCTCCGTTTTGCACGCTACAGCACAGCCTCCTCCAGTCTCTGACTGTCTGTCTGTCTGTCTGTCTTCTGCTCCCACCGTCGCATCACCTTTCCTAGCTCTGCTTCCTTTGTCACACGTCCTTCTCTGCCTTTTCTGCTCCTGCCTCCCTCTTACGAGGACCTTTGTGATCCCACGGGACCCACCCCAAAAACTCAGGATCATCTTCCCGTTTCAAGGTTCTTCACTTAACCATGTCTGCAAAGTTCTCTCTGCTTTGTAAGATAACAAATATTACAAAGATTAGGGGTTAGGATGTAGACAATTGGGGGACGGCATCGTTCTATCTCCTACATTCCCCAACATGTAGTACGAGTGAACTATGCAATCATATTTCTTCCCAGCTAGGCGACAGGGATGATATATGGAGAGGCTCAGGGGCTGGGTAAGAGAAGGCTGGGTACTAACAGGGGGTAGGCGTGTGGAATTGAGAGGCATAAGTGCATAGCATGGACTTCAAGGACATTTTTCCTGATGTTACTACGTGACTGATATTTAAGGAAAAAAAGCAAACAATAGAACAGATCCCATTCCTCCCCCACCCCAGAAGATTCAGGAAAATGGATCCAATAAATCCCGGTATTTTCCTACACTGGAATATTACTCTGCCAATAAAAGGAATACACTCCTTGTACATGCAACAACGTGGCTGAATCTCAAAAATATTCCGAGTGGAAGAGAACAGACACAAAAACCGTATTCTGTATGATTCCATTTGTGTGAAGTCCGAGACCACAAAAACTGTTATGTACCGGGGAAAACCGGAAGCGTGGTCTACGCGAGTTGGGAATTAACTGGAATGAGTCGTAAGAGAATGCTCTTGGTGACAGGAATGTTCTAACTCCTGACTGAGGTCATGGGTACTCGGGGTATGCAGAGATCTGTCCCAGTGCACACTTAAGATCTATGCATTTCTCTGTATATACATTTTTCCTCAATTAAACAATTTTTAAATGGTTAAACATAGAAGATAGACTGAAAGACTTCAACATACGTGTAATTAGGCTTCTAGAAGAAAACTGAGGAACGACGCCAAGGCAATATTCAAAAAGGAAATGGTTAAGAGTCGATGAGAGACGATGACTTCTCAGGCTAAAAGCGCGTACCAAGTGCCAAGCAGAATAAACAAAGACAAATGCCCACTTAGACACAGCAACGTAAAACTGGGGGATACTAAAGATAAAGTCAAAAGCTCTCGGAGAGAGATAGGGAGAGAGATACAAAGAGAAAGAAAGAGAGATGAGACTTTCTATAACACCAGGCTCATTACACTGGCGGAGAGGTCGGCGGGTCCCAGCGGCCCTAACCTTCAGTGGCTCCACACGCCCCAGGCAGGGCCCCTGCTGCTCAGACCCCCAGGTCAGAGCATCCCTGACCAAGTCCAGAGGCGCTCTCCCCACCCCCAGCAAAGGCCCTGGCTCTGACACAGTGGAAAATTCCCCCTAGCTCCAGCTTCCTGGGCAAGTGACACCCAGAAGCAAGAACTGGGGGCAGAGAGGAGCGAGGCTGAAACCTCACACCCGGGTGCGATCGGATTGCCCCAGGGAAGACCGACTGTGACAGGCAGGCTCTGCCCCTGGGCCAGGCGCTGTGTGGGAGGCCCGGCCGGCTGACCCAGGAGGCTGTCTCCTCTGCCTCTGGCGGGTCACACGAAAGAGACCAGTGAGTGGGTGTTCTGGCACGGTCCTTCCCATAAGCAGATGACAGGGAAGACAAACCCTCTGGGATCTGGGAAGAGGCATAAAAGGATCTGTAGCAAAAATGTTTTCACCTTAAAGATGCGTGTTCTTTTTGTATCTCATTACACACTCTTTCGTATTTATTTGAATGTAAAAATCTTTGCCCTGTCTCTTCGCTGTACGTACCTCCAGTGCACGTGACACCCTCCCACAGGAGGGACGCACAGCGGGGTTAGAGAAGCCGGGGTCTCTCAGGACTCCTCCTCCCCCACCCTCTGCACTGGCTCTCCTGCCTGAGTCTGGTCCCCAGCTTGGGGGTTCCGCCCGTTGTCGCTCCTGGATTTACACTTGGCTGGTGTAAATCCAGGGTCAGCAGTGTAGCTTCTTCAACCCAGACACCCCCTGTGCTTCAGAGGAAGACTCCCTGTTTCAGTCCCCAGAACCCCATTTCCCAGCACCAGTGAGGAGAAGGAGTTATAGCTGACACCACATCCCACAATCCAGTGCCCTGGGGGACAGTGACAGATCAGGCTACCCTGACTAGACTCCTTCCCCCACCATCTGTGTCTAGGTAAGCCACCAAAGGGAACACCTAGGGCAGCTGGAAAGAAGGCAAGTGTTGTGGGGTGGATGAAAATGATGAGCAGAGCAACAAAATAGCAATTTACAATTGGGGATGCAGCCAGAAGAGGTCCGGCAGAAGGGACATACTTGCAGGCAACCAGCCCCAGTACCCGTGTGGGGTTTCTCGACGGGGGCGCCAAGGTGTTTGGCTCAGGAGGGGAGAGGCTGGCTCTTCCCACCTAAAGTCGGCTGTCACCCAACCAGAGCTGACCCCCCTCTCCAGAGAGGAGCAAACTCAGTTGTATGGGCCCTTCGAATAGACCAACTACTGCCCAATTTTACTAAAGCACTTGCTCAAATCATTGGTGACTACTGCAGTAGTGGCAGCCCGGAATTTTCCATGACACAAGTGGTGCCAGCCAAGAATTTCTTGAAATCAATGGTCTCTAAAGTTTTTTCAATCATTCATCTCTATTAATAAAAGTGTTAGATGCATTGCCAATATATGTACATTTAAGAATTTGTAAATTATATAAACTGTACCAGCATATTAGTATATCATAAAGCAAACACAAACTTAGGCATTTTCAAAGGATGAATTGAAAGTTAAACACAACTGGAAGGTCAAATGTTCATTCCTCGACTCCAGCCAAGCATCAGATACAACCCGCTCCAGAGGCCACAGCTGTAAGCTCCACTGCCTAACACCCCTTTGTTTTTCCTTAAACTTCGTTGGAGGTGCCACGCCTTTACTCAGCCATCCACTTCGTATGTGCCAACTCAAAACATGAATGTCTTCGTCATTTGGATGAATGTGACTGAGGGTGGGAAGACACAGAAGATTAATCCTTGCCCTCAAGCTTAAAAGGTCAGCCTACACATTCTGCAACAATCCAAAGTGCCCAAGTGACAGCTGTGTGCCTGGCACTGTGTTGGGCACTGTGGGAAACACAAGGAAATACGAGGATGAATGAGTGAGCAAGGAATGTGCTCACTGGAGCACTCCATCTCCGCTACTGGGGAGGAAGGGTGCCCACATCACTCCGATTTGGGGCAGCTGGTGGCGGGAGAAGCAGTGGGCCATGGGAATGAGGCAGGAGAGCTGGGGGATGGTGGGGTATTTGAGCTGCTCTCCAAAGGATATGCAGGACATTCACATGTGGGGTAGGGGGAAATAGGAATCTCGGCAGAGGTGCTCAATGACTCCAAACGTAAGGTAATAAAGCATACCAGTCAAGTTGAGAGTTTAGGAATATGAGTAGAACCCAGCAAGGAATTGAGAAAAAAAACAAGCAATGTGGGAGCAAGAAAACTCACAGGAGCATGAATCCTTGAATCTAGAGACAAAATGAAACTCCAAAAAAGGAGTGATCACCTGTGTTGAATGTACTAATAGTCTAATAAGTTTGGGAATGAAGACGACTCATTAGATTTAGCAATAGGGAAGTCAC